AGAGGTAATGCAGGAGAGTGGAGAGGTACAAGTGGAGGTGGAAAAATTTCACAGATGTATCAGGGTCAAAACACCACTCCTGTATCAAAGGCTCTAAGGTTTTAGAGTCGAGAAACAGAAAATCTGAATGATGGCATGCTAAAGTGTAATTATCTGATGTACGAGAGGAATGAGGCATGCTGACTCCAGAATGTAACTGTGCTACAAACTAGTCAGCACGGACCCTGACATCTGGAGAGGAAGGGAAAACCAGGTGGCAGGAGGAAGGAGCAGAAGGAAAGAGGGAAGGAATCATAAGACACAAGGGATACAGAAAAAAGGCTGAAGATGGTCTAGGGGGGTCTACAGGTGGAAGTTGAGATTGCATGGCAAAGTAAAAAGGGGGAAAGAGGCTATTAAAATCATTTCAACAGGAAAAGGAATAAATGGTCTGGGATCAGAAGGCACCGCAGAATACATAATGGACTCCAATTCACAAGATATTAAAACCCGAGACCTTCTCAGCCAAAAATGTGGAGCCTGAAGTTTGAGAAACTGCAGGTTGAGGTGCAGTAGTAGTATTAAATACTGTGGTAGTAGTGGTGATGTAAAATTCAGAATTCATATTTCAACTGAGAATGTAAACAAAATTAACAACCTACAGTAACTCAAGTTTAAATGCAGAAACAACTAAGTTGTTGAATAAATTGAAAATACAAAATCAAACACTTTATGCTACAGGGCCAAACTGGGAAGTGAAGATTGAATTATACAGTACAGAGGAAGCCAACTGTGCCAGGAGGGTGTGTGACACTCCTATTAGTGGAGGATTGTCGCATGCTTATTTGCATGCTACAAAGAAGCTGTACCACACTAAACACGTGGGGTAGGTGGGAGTCTTAAAGCTACTGATGAGTAAAACATTTGTGCATATAGAGGGCAGTGAGTGAGAAAAGCAATTATGTGAGATGAAGTAAGGTATCATATCAGAAAAACTATTACAAATTGTTGTTAAACAATTTGAAATTGGATTCACCTGTAAAAAGCATGTCTCTAGCTTTACTTAATCCACTATTCATGGTCTGATATCTAATCAACTTTTAGATTAGCTATCTCTTCTCAGCAGCAGTTTAGGAGCAGTTACCCATTCAATGCAACCACTCTGTGCTAATGTTTATCTTAGTGTTTTTGAGGTAAGATTCATACCTGTATTTATGGAAAGTTCACTGGGAGAATCTGTACTCAACTTTCATCTACCTAATAAAGAACAAACCATGATTATCTAAATAACTTTTATTAGTTTAGTTTTAGCTTTCTACTTTGAACACTTCTATTATCAACAGTGACAGTTTCACACACCTATCCTCTTTGGAGTCTTCTATATAGCTCCTACTAAAACATAGAATTTTGTGAAGTTGTTCACACAGAATATCACTGAGGAACCAAAATTTGATTTCTACCCACTTGTAATACATATTTCAGTCCTGGGCAGAATGACTAGATTTATAATACTATTACTGGGCATAGTATGACTGTTTTACTTTTATAACTTTATACTTGACTTGTTAGATGACAACCAGTGTAGTTAATTGTCACACAATAGATCAGTGGTATTTCTGTAGTGTTTGCCTTTTATATCTTTTTCTCACCATTTTCAATACTGTGTATGTATCAGTATGTATTAATTAAACTAGATGTTTCAATAAACGTGTATCAGTAAAGCTAATGTATCAATATAGCTGCATTTATTAGTCGCAACGTATAGAGCCTGACAACAACTGAAGCTCCGGCACTTTTGCCTCAGATAGACCAGTAATAGTGTTAGAAGGTTGTTATTTTAATCCAATTTGTGATGCTACTTTTAACTTCAAAGCAAGCCTGAATAAAAACTGTAATGCAGAATGCATTTTCACGTATTGGCATTGCATCATCACAGGATAACAGTAACAGCATCTAGATTTTAAATTCTGATCTCTCAGCCATTTAGAGACAAGGATTTTATTATTATATCCCGCTCAGTACTGTGATAAATTCCAAACAATGCAGCTGTTACTTCTCTAAAAAGAAAAGACCAAATATTATTCTGTACTTTTTTGACTAATTTTGTGCTGCATTCCAGTTTGTTTTGACAAAAAATAATTCATATTTACTATCTAAAAAATTTATTATTGATAGAGTATCATACTAGTTACATAAAACATTTCACAGCAGACTGCTTAACTCTTTCAGCACGGGCTCAGTCCCTGAGAATGACCTTGTAACCATTTTATCCTTGTTATAGTTTTCATGCTATAACTTTTAAATTAGTAAGTGTATGTTCACAAAATTTGACAGATTATCAGTTAACATTACAATTCTTTCATAAGCAAGATATCAGATTTCTTATATTAAGTCTTAAGATTTGTTAAGCAATGTTTTTCTCATGCCTTTGTTCTTTTTGCATGTTGCCTATCCATCATGTAAAGTAATTTTCATTTTAAGATTAAAAATACTTTTATG